CCCCTTACTAAGACTGATGGCAAGGATATATAGAGAGAGAGAGATGATTCATGTTCTCCCTGAAAACTTAGTGATTCATAATGCCCAATAAAAAGTGCATTTACATTACTAAATTTTAATTCAAGTATTTCTTTAATTAGAATTAAATGCTGCAAATTCAATGAAAAAACTTTGTGCAAAAAAATTTTTTTTTATTAGATTAATAAATATTTTGTTTCGAATAGAAAATGTTAAAATTACCCAATAAGTTTTATTTAGTTTAAGGCTGAATAGTTCACAAAAATATAAATGGCTTTAAAAAAGTTTTTAAAAAATTTTTTTTTTGTTACATAATGCTTTCAAACATATCTCAAGAGTAAACAATAAAAAAAGGCGAATTTTTTTATTTTCATATTTAAAAATTAAGAAAATAGGTAAAACGGAGGCACCCTAAAAATGGATAAACAAACATGAGACTTTATACTGTACTTTTCTACCTTTTTTCCTTTTTTTACTTCATAAACACAATATATTAAACCATTTTATTCAATTACTTTTTTAAAAACAATTTTTGTTCTAAGATTTCACTAGAGGTTAAGAATGTACTAAATGAACATTAAAAACTAATGTTGATTTTTAAAGGATTAAAAATATTTTAGAATTTCTAATTTTAACTTTTTTAATAAAAGCAACTTCTAAAGAATCTTCTTAACTAATAACGTTATTCTTATAATTAATAGGTAAATCTTATTTTGAATATTTATAGGAGCAATATTCATATATTGAGTGGTAGTTTAGCAATTCTAAAATGCCTGAATAAGAAAATAGTTACATGGCCCAATAAAGTGGATTTTAAATAAACTTTACATGCAAGTAAATTCTATAAATTCAAAAGAATATTAGCTGTTTACTATCATATTAAGCAAATACATAGATAAAGCACAAACATGACAAATGTTTTTAGGAAAGAAAACTAAAATACTAAATATTACACATCTTAAACCTCATGAAACATTTTGCAAAACACATAGTGTTTTAAGTAGATCAACTCTGAAGCATTTTAAAAGATTAATATTTATAAGTTTTTTTTTATAAATATTGATAAATTTTTAAAAAAAAAATGGCAGTACGTTTATCATTATCAGCACTCAACATTGAATTTGCTAGTATTGAAACAGGTGCAGCAGGTGAAACAGGTCAATCAAGTTGAGTCTCAATAATTCAAATTTGGATTGTTCGAGTTTCCCCTAAATTTGAGTTAGTGGAAAAATCATTTAAATGCTGAAATAATAGCCAACATATATACAACATATGAAATAATTACTACATCTACATTGAAACTAGGATAAATATCGTAGCTAAAGCTCAGTATTTTAATATAATTTAACATGAAAACAAAAAACTCTAATGCTACTTTCCATTTAATAACATGCTGGTTCCTGAAAATGGGTTCTGACTAAAAAAAAATTTCTGTTTGTGCATAACACAGGGATTGAGTGGCTGAGTTATCAAACTACAGTATATAGTACACTAAAATTTAAGTTAAGTTTAAAAATACTTTAATGAAAAAATTAAAGCAATTGCTTTAATTTTTTCCTTAAATATTACGAACTCAACAATTGGAGATTTCAATGATTTAATGTAAGTCTAGTCCTGTTCACTTTGAACTATCTAGATTCTTCTGTATTCTATTAGCATTTGATTTAGTAATTTCCTTAAAAACGAATTTAAGTTTATTATTTCCCCTTTAATTAAAAAAAAAAAATTTCTTGTGAGTTTGAAAATTAAAAACCCAATTAAATCTTTTTTAAAATATTCAATAAAAGCAGATACAAATATTTTGGGTATTTATATAAAATACTCCCCTCTTTTCAAATCACTTATATGTTTGTACAACAGAAGAGCAATAACTTTCAAGGGGCAAAATTCCCTAAGTTTTCATTAGTTGAATAAAAGTATGCCTACTAAAATACACGCTTTCAGCAGAGTATATTTTCCACTGTTTATAAACTAACACATAACTTTTTTTAAAAAATTTCAGCACTTAAGCATGAAACCAATTGATTATGTGACCCTTAATAAATATTTGTAAGTAAGTTATGTTGTGGAGGTTAAATCTCTTTGAAATCAAACTTATTTAACCAAAAATCAGAAATTAAAGCTTAACATTTTCTATAACGGGTAAAACTTTTCCATATCAATGGAAAAGTTTAACCCGTTATAGAAAATGTTGAGCTTTGTTAAGTTAAGCATGGAAAAGCATGAAAGTGAAGTTAAATTGAGCACAGATCAAGTTTACATTGACATGCTAAATTTTATATAGGATTAATACCTTTGAATAAGAATAAATAAAATAATAGGTCAACATGAGTGATAAAGCAACTTACAAAATTCATTAGTTCAGCCCACCGAGGCAGATGTACTTCATGTTCACATATTCATCAATTCCATAATGTGATCCTTCTCTTCCGATCCCGGATTCTTTGATACCGCCAAATGGAGCTTCTGCCGTAGATATAATTCCTTCATTTACGCCTACCATCCCAACTTCAAGAGCTTTAGCGACTCTCCATATCTGAGAAATATCTTGAGAGTAAAAATAACCTGAAATATTGCATGTGATTTATTAAGAATTTAATGAAAGTTAGTTAGAAATACACATTAAAACAGTAGAAACCTTCAAATCATTATGTAATAATACTTTTTAGTTTTCAGTTCCTTTTGGCAAACTTTCTGAGCTATAATATTTATTTTACAAAGGTGCCAAAAACTACTAAGTAGTGAAATTTAGATATAAAATTTAAATTTTTACCTGCCAGTCCAGTCTTAGCAGTATTTGCTATTTCTATAGCTTCTTCTTCAGATTTGAATCTATATTAAATTAAATAATTTTTATTTACAAACTTCAGAAACACAACAAAATATTATTGATTAAAATTAAAGTATAATTTTAGAAATATATCATAATTAACATTTTAATATATTTTTTATAGGAAATTTAGAAATATATTAGAAAGGTACTAATTCCTTATACAATAACTTTGTAATTTTTCTTTAATTGTATAACCTAATTTCTTTTGGGACAATTTTGAGCACAAAATGAAAGTACACTTTTTTGAATTTCTATAATATTTTTTTCTTCCTTCATACCTTTATCTTTCTGAAATGACAACATGAACTACTTTTAATGTCCAAAAATTTTCTGTTCCCCTTTGAATTGACGTCAATGAGGTTTGACTATTAGAGTAGACATTCATATAAAGAGAAGTATCATTTCAAAATATTCTACTGAAATATTATTAATTTTAAAGTACCTTTTTTCCATCTCTTACTCAATACAAAATAGTAATTTACAGTTTAAATTTTTGAAAAAAATACATTTCATTGTTTCATATCTTAATACAATTTCTCGTTCTATAGTCTTCAAAATGTTTAAGAACAAAAAAACACATGGCCCATGGTTATAAAAAATAAGCTTTTTTTAAAAAATGTGTTTCAAATTTTATTAAACAAATGACTTAACAATGTCTTGTAATGAAATTAAGCAATATTAGTTGTTACTATTTCTTTAGGCTTGATTTGTATTGCCAACATTTTTCATACCATATTTTTTTTTCTTTAAAGGAAGTTTTGAGTTATAGAAATGATAAGATTTTATGATTTCTAGACTAAAGTTTCTGCATCATATAAAAAAATTGACTAAACTAATTTCTGACAAATAAAAAATATTCTATATAAAATCCAATTGCAAAATAGGTTTATAAAAACTTAACTATATATTTTTATGATGCCAAATATTCATATTTTCGAATTTTATAAACGAAAAGAAAAATGTTAAGAATTGAAAGAAATCTTTAAAAGAATAATGCAGAAACAATTTTAAAGATTTAAAATCTTATAGAATAATAAATATTCTAATTTTTTAAATATCAAATAATTTAATAATTTTTTTGAAATAAAATTGAATTTTTTTCATATACAAACTTCATAACTCCAGCTACTGGTCCAAAAGTTTCCTCCTGACAAATTAACATGTCAGTCTTAACATTTTTCAGCAGAGTGGGCTCATAGAAACACTTCCCACTGGAATGCACTTTACCTCCTGTAACTAGTTCTGCACCTTTGTTTACAGCATCTTTTACATGTCTATCCGCCTAATTATAAGAATTACATTCATATTAACTTCAATAAAATTTAATCAGGGTGTCTGGCAAAGTTAACCATATTACTTCCCAGACTTTTACATCTTGAAGTTAATAAAATATTAAACAGTAAAAATTTTTTTTTAAAAAAAAAAGCTATCACACAATTTTAAATAAAATTTTAATAGCATATGCAAGCATATTAGTTTTTTTTATCAGGCTTTAACTAAAAAAGAAAATTTTAAACTAAAGATTTAATTTTAAATAAATATTATTAAACTTAACATAAAATAAATACTAAAATAAAGTAGTAGGCTATTTTATTTTTACAAGTATTTAAATACTTTTTTTATATAAATAATTTTTCTTACTTTTTAAAGCACATTAATAACTTAGAATACATAATACTCTTTTTTACTATAGCTACATAATTCAATGGAATAGAAATTTTATGAAATTCATTTTTCTTATTACACACCAAATTAATTGTTTTACAAAGAAACAGTTATTCAAATAAGTTGGTAATTACAAATTCAGTTAGTTTGTAATTACTGAATAATACCTTATAACTCTTTGATTACAAAGAAATATTATGGGAGACAAAAAAAAAAGCACAAGAGGAAAAAGAGTGGAACACATTTTTCCTGACAAGACAAAATTAAAATACAGTGTCATGAAAATATTCCATATTCTGTTCAGGAATGTAAAGTTTCTTTGAGTTGGAAGTTAAAAATTTCCCTTACTTTTTTTTAGAAAAAAATAATTTTCTCACTTTTTCAGGGGATCTGAAAATTTTCCCAGCTTTTCTAGGTTATTCAGTTTGCTAGATACCCTGTTTCAACTTGAAAAATAAAATAAAAACTAAATATGAAAGCAATATTTAATAGATTCTACTTAATATGCCAAGATTTTAATAAAGTCAAAACATTTGATAAATAAAAAGGAAAAACAATCAAGTTTTCCTGGCTATAGAAATAAGAGCATTTCATAATATACTAATCTATAGAGAATAATAAAAGTTTAATTATCAGTAATTTAGATGAATAATAATAATTTTAGCAATCACTACCAATGAAAAATTTCCTAACAAAAAAAAAAACTCGGTTTAAAAAATTATTATGAAACTTCAAAGGAAATGCAAAAAGAACTATTTCTAATTTGTAAAAAAAATTATTCAAAATTAAAATTAATTTCTTACGATTAAATCCAATATGAAAAACAGTACTCAAAGTAATCAAGAATGTTTATTTACTTAGAATGAGAGAGAGAAAAAGAGTTGATTATACATAAAGAAATATTTTAATTTGTCATGCATACACAAATTTAAACTTTATTTGCCATACATACACAAATTAAGTAAAATGCATACACAAATTTAAACAAAAAATATTTGAAATATTTAGAAACGAATTGAATTACGTATAGAATTCTTATTTCTTAAAAAATAAGGTTCATAAATAATGCATTTTAATAAATTTCAGTACATTTAAAAGAAAACTATTGATAAAAGTAGGAGATAATATAAATAAATAAATTTAATAAAAAATATACCTCTAAATATAAGAACTAAAAAACAGATTATGTTTACCTTCTCGACAGCAATTTCATTTATCAGTGGTCCTATGTTTACATTGGGATCCATTCCATTACCAACTACAAAGGTTTGCATCTTTTTAGAAAATTGAGCAACAAATTCATCATAAATTTCTTCTTGTACTAAGAATCGATTGGTACAAACACAAGTCTATAAGGAAAAATTATACAAGAATTTCAACATTCAAATAAACTACAAATACCCAGTAGAAGATCTATATAATACAAATCTGTAAAAAAAAAAAAAAAAAAATTATTCTCCATAAACCATATAAACTTTTTGGGTGTAAACAATAATAATTGCTTTTAAGAAATTTCTGTAACCAGGCAAAAACTGTTTACTTTTTACAGTGTTTGAGTACATGGTAAGAAACTGGAACTTCAAAAGCTAAGCAAACTTGAAAAAAAAAATTATACAATATATGCATAAATATAGAGAGAGAGAGATTTATATAAATTAAAAATGTAGAGGAAACATGGAAAATAAATAATAAAGATTAATAAAAAGAAAAGAAAAAAAATGATTAAAATAAATTTTTAAAAAAAAACATATATATTGGTAAAAACCCATTACTGAAAGGGAGCTCTGAGCGCAACAACTAGTAGTGAACTTGTGACACAGAAGTGTTAAGATGTTGCTTTAAATTATTAATTCCGCTTTCTTTTTCGTTATTGAATAATTGTTTTGTTATATTTGATTTCGCCAATGACTTATTTTCTGTATTATTGATAAAAATCCACTGAGCCACTGAATCTACCTTGATGTTGATTTTTGAATCCCTGATTATATTGAATTGAACACAGAACATATATATANGGCATAACACAAAATTTTAAGCCATGTAAAACCTCATGTTCTAAGGGTGTCATTAAAAATTTGCTGAATTGTAGTTCATATTGAGAAAAAAAAATCATTTTGCTCTATAAAATCTTTTTATCAGTTCATTTATGAATAAATTAAAAATTTTACATCTACAAGCATTTACCTGCAAACAGCAAATATCAAAATCGGTATCGATAGTAATATTTTGAAAAGTTCAATGGAATTTCAGTACATTGCACCCCATATGAACAGAATTTTATATTGAGATACATTGTCATATTATACGAGAGATACACTGCAAGTTATGCTAGGAAATGAAGCATTTTAACGTAAGTTTTAAATTACACTATTAAACTTAACATATTTGTTTGTCATTACACAAATAATGACAAATTGTATACTAGCATATACTTTTCAAACCAGTTTCATTCATGTTTAGTTAATTATATCATTCCTGTATCTTTAGAGCACAAGAAAAGAAAAATAATTCTGATTCTCTGATGATGAACTCTGATTTATCATTCACATTGAGTTTAAATGTTTTTTTTTTATTTGATTAAAACATGAGAGCTGATAGAACAAATTAAATGAAGATTTCAAATGAAAGCTACAAAATTGCTTAGAACAATTGTTGTGACTATTGAAATTTTTAAGGTCACAAAAATGTGTGTGACCTTCATCTATCACAACTATCAGAAATAATAAAATTGGTAACAAATAAAAAATTACATCTAATGAGAGTTTCTCTTTGAATAAACAAATGTCCAAAAAAAAATCAACATCAATCCTCAAAAGGAAAAGTTTATAATATAATTGTAATAATATCATAATGATTTAAATGAGCCCTTCATTATTTAAACAGAGCAAATTCATGCGTTTAAATATATATTTTGTTCCATTCTTTTAAAACAAAGAAAGCTATAATATACCTGCCCAGAGTTCCGAAACTTGGAAGCTATGGCACCATCAGCAGCAGCTGATACATTTGCTGAATTAAATACAATAAATGGAGCATTTCCTCCTAACTCAAGCGACACTCTTTTCACATACGGAGCACAATCTTGAAGCAAAAGCTATAAGATAATTAAATTGTAAAAAAATTAAGTTCTAAAGTATTTGACAATAATTTATAACTTATAAATTTGTTACGTTATATTAGTAACAATTAACAAAATTTCTGCACAATGAAATCTATTTTTAACACCATTAAAAATGTCAAACTATCATTTTTTTTATACTAATGAAATTAAAAAATATGCACATTTGAGAACATTTTCAACACAAATAATCAAACTACAATGAATTTATTATTATTTTTTTTGGCCAGTCAAATGAAAGAGATAAGATTTCTATTGCATTTGACAGGGATTTTACAGCCTATAAAGATGAATATTTACGTTTAAGGCATGTTTCATTTCAGGTGCAGACATTTTGCTAAAAAATAATTCCTTTTCTTTTCTTTTTTTTCTGAATAATCGTATGCACAACAAAAAATACATCTATAATACATAAACCATACATTTTAAATTACCTAGGTTACAGTTAACACGTGTTTCTAGAAAGGAGATATACAAAATTTCTTTTAGAAATTATTTAAAAAATTGTTGTTTTAATTATAAATTAAATATGTAGAATGATCTAAAACTAAATAGACTTTTTTTACCGTTTACATTATCAATAAATTTACTTAAAAAAGCAAACTTTATAAAGTTGTAGAAGTGTTCCTCCCATAAATAATATTTTATAATTATTTGTCTCATGATTATAAGACATTATAATTTATAAACTTCATTTTCTATCAGTTTAAGTCTAATTAAACCTTGTTACATCATAGTTGGGTTGCAAGCAATTTCTGAATTAGCTTCAAAGCTGACATCTAAGAAAACTTAACTTACATTACAAAGTTTTGATTCAATAATTTCACTGAAAATATTAATTAATACTGTTTACTATTGATTTATTTCATTCAAATGAAAATCCAGAACACTTATATTTCACAGTACTGGTTTTAATCTTTTAAAAGAATTACTGAAAAATGCAAAAATAACTTTACAAATGATGCAGTGAAAAAAAAATTTATCACAAGAATTCCATGAATTTTTCTGAGAATATTAATTAATACTGTTTGCTATTGATGTATTTCATTCAAATAAAAATCCAGATCGCCAATATTTCACAGTACTGGATTGAATCTTTTATATTGATTACTGGATTTAATCTTTTACATGAAA